AGCCAGATGCAGTTGTTCCAGAATAAAAAAGGCTTTTTACTTTGGATTTACAACATGTTCTCCTCAGTATTTTGTTTCCAAAGAATTTAAGTACTATATTTAATGTTCATTCAGATTTCTGTCTGAAAGATGTATTTTTGCACTCACAGAATGTAAGCTAAGGCTTAGGATTAGGGAAAAGGGATTTTTTTTTTTTCCCAGTCATTGCCTGCAGAAGCACAATGTCAAGTTTAAATGGCAAGTGTGACTAACATGTAAGCATTCCAGACAACTGAAGACAAATACATCTATTTAAAACTTAACCAATCTCCTCAAACAATTAAACAACTTCAATTAAACTTAAACATATGGACAAAGTTGCCCTCGCTTATAAAAAGCTCATTTGACTTTAGCACATTTAGGAATTTTACTGTTATTCAAATCCACAGACCAGCAGTGAAGACACCTCCAGGTGATGGTGCTTAAATTTCACACTTGTTTGAATTCCTCCCTCTTTGCCCCAATATCTAGTTTGAAAACTGGACTTTAGCAAGCAGCTAGCAGATGCAGCATTTCACCAAAATATCTTACTCTGAAAAACAAAGTGACTATTAAAGTCTTTTAGTGGGGTCACTGTAGCACAAAGGTGTGCATGTCCACATATTTACTAAACAAAGAATTATGGTGGATATGCCAGTAAAATCTTACAGTAACTTTTCCCCCAGGTCTTCTCTGTAGATTATACACTTCTAAATTTTTATAGAGATATTTTTCTTCTGCTGTCTTCCCCCATTAGAGAAAAGCAATATTTTAAATAACCCATTTTTTTTAAGTAACTCTCCTATCTGAACTTGCATGCCACACTGTTTAGTTCACCACGAATTTAGTACTGAAAACCGAAAAACCAGTAAAACCTCTGTGTGTGAATGGAAGAGGTAAGGGTCATACTAAAGCACTCTTGGAATCAGGTGATATCCTTACTATAATAAAAGCAGCGTTCAAAAAAAGGAGTTTGCAATAGAAGATGCTACAGGAATTTGCACATGGCCATGGGAAAATCTCTTAACTTCTCAAAAAAGAAGATATATTCTAATTTACCTAAAAGCTGCAAAAGAGAACTATAAATATTTTACATGTACTATTTACCAAAATTTTTTTTTTGCTCATTCAGTCAAACCATCTCTTTCAAACATGAAGAACAAATACCAAGAAAAAATATACTTAGTTAAGAAACAATGACAAGTTCTGCTAAATCAGTCATGTCCCTTGGCCCTGGGCAGGTCCACAGCACCTCTGCAAGTCTCTTGTTTGGCAGAGGTTCACATGCATGGTTTGAATATTTAGCATCTGGAAGACAGGTAATATTTTTCACAGCTGTTCCCACCTTGTTTCCACAGTCACCAGGTTGAAAATCAAAAACTTTTGTTGAGTTTGAACGCCTGGCTCTGTGCATTAGCAGAAAAACATATTCAGTGCTGCAGCTCTTACAATGAATGTGTATGGTGTCTAATGCTGCAAGCAACCAAAAAACTAAATTGTGACATTCATTTTTTTATGGCACTCAGCAAAGAAATGGTTTCTCACAACTAGAGTGATTCTGGGTAAATCAGTTAAAGCAGACTCACTACATCCTACTCTTCCAAAAAGAGACCATCTTACCCTGAGAGAATAATTTCCTCAGTTCAATAATCACAGACATAAAACATTGACAATGTACTTTCACATCATCCTCTAAGATGATAGAAGTATCTACTCTGAACACTTCAGGTGAAATAAATTCACAATACAAAGACACTCTGAGATTGTAGTGTGACCTAGAAGACATTTTTAAACCTATGTACCTTTAGGTCATGATAAAAACAAAGCTGCTAGCAAATCTCAATGAAGATTGATTCATTCCTGCAATTCTGAATAAGACAAACACAAAACTTTGTACTTGAAGAGTCCTGAAAGCTCCTTTTTCAGAGCACTGTCTTGGATTCTGGTATGTTTATATCCAACAGCTTGGTTTTAAATAATATTTACTAATGAATGTTTTTACAATTGGATCTATGAGCAACTCCCCTTCCTTCTATAAACACCACACTAAGAGAGCAATAAAGACTGAGACCAAAATGTTTGTCCTCGTGGAAAGTTCCCAAGTCAATTTTTGGGTAGTAATGCGGGGCCAGGATCAGCCCCAACCAGAGGGTGACAGAGAAGAAGCCGTTTTTGTCAAGTTTTCTGTACTTCTTTTGAATTTTCTCCACCATCAAATTCTAACTTCACACTTCTGCTACGAAGGAAAGTGAAGACCACCCTTCAGGAGGGGAGAAGCTCCTCATTAACTTTAATATTGCCTTTGGCTTCTTCCCTTTTTCCATCCATGCACGTGGCAAACTTTTCAAGCCCACCACAAAAACTTCTGTCGAGGTTTCAGGTGTAAAATCCTGAAAGCTGGCAGGGCAAACTGATTTGTGGAAGTCAGGAAACAATACAGGTTCTGCTCCTCAATAAATGAGGGAGCCCTGCATCCCTAGTGCATCCCATTTGGAATCCACTGAGAAGCTTCTACTGGTTTCCATAGCTGCTTTAAGTTAAAATAGCGAAGGTTTTGCTTTAAGTCAAAATGATGAGTTTTTTCCCTATCCACTGGCAGTGAAGGGGAAAAAAAAATCCCACAATTTCTGCTTTCACACAGAAGAAAAAACAGGTGAAAGTAAGCTTATACATATATATAATTTTTTTTTCCTGTTTGGCAGCAACTGGCCCTTCACCCAGCTCATGTTCTCATCTGCTTAGTAAGAAAGGATGTGGTAAAGAATCTTGGAAAGCAATGGATTGAAAAGTTTCCAAGGCATAAAGTCCTTTGGAAATCATACTTCAGAATATTATAGAATATAGAATATTCAGAGTGCTGCTAGCATGCCAGAACTGCAGCTCTTACTCTTTGGACAAAGAGAATAAATTGGAGATGTAGCTCTAATCTCTTTAATTTCATGACACACAGCAGCTGTTTCCTCTCTCACAGTCAAATGTGAGGTCAAAAATTATCCTTTTTTTTCCCTGAAATGCCTTGACATTAGAGGTGGCATCATGGACAACACAAAGTCCTGGAGGATTGCTGCTCTCTTGAAGAAATTCAAACATCACAATAATGCTGAAGGAACTTATTTTCACTATTAAATCATAAGCAAACCATCCTTACAAGAGTTTCTTGCTTCAGGGTCCTTGAGGCACACAGAGTAACCTCTAGCAAGGAAAAGAGACAAGTGGAGGAGATAATCTCAGCAGAATCTCATACACTTTCCATAACCTTCTTAGATTTAAACATTACTTTTGTTTTTAAGTTATTGTTATATATTTCTTATATATCACTAATAAAATATATAAAATATAAATGACATAATAATACAATGTTAAGTAAGTAGTTGCATTTAATCATTACACTGCGCAACACCAATGTTCCACCAAGATCTCTTCCCATTTTAAAACATATTCTGTGCTGAAGTTATGGATAAACATGTACTTTGTACAGGAAAAAAACCTAAGTTAACTCAGTTATTCCTTTTAATTTTAAATTTGTGTATCTGCTCTGCTCATATAAATGTTGTTGATAAATAAATATTTAATGTACAAACCTTGACTAAGAAAAAGTATTTCATTGTGACAGAGATGTAAACCCTTATTTTGTATTACCTGCACAGAGACTGGAAAAATGGGGAGGAAACAAACAAAAAAAAAAAAACCAAAACAATTTGCCTCTAGACCAACTTTACATAAAAAATGTATGTATTTATACACATATATTTTAAATAAATATATATATATACATACATACATATATATATATATATTAAAAAAATATACAAACCCCACAGTGTTTATGTGGCTGGATTATAGAAAAAGGTATATTGGTTATATATGTGTATTATATAACATATAATACACAATTATTAAAATATTCAATTATACATTTACATACCCCCATAAATATATAGATAAATATCTCTGTATCCACATTTATTTGTTATACACATAATAAACTCGTACATAAGCAAAGATATTATCTTCCAGATGTACTTACCTGGTTTTTATATATTTACACCTCTTAGCTATTCATGTAACTATGAATAAATTTAAGAATATGCATTTTTATGTTGTTATATTGCATGTACATCTATACTCTTAAAAATCGTATGTACCATATATATATCTGCTATATATATATATATATATATATATATATATATGCAGTAAACATATAATTTTTTAATAAATATAAAGGCTATGTATATATGTATGTATACATTGTTAAAAATGCTACACATATACATACATATATATACATACATATGTATAAATAAATGTATATATATAATAAATAAAATATAAAAATATAAAATGTAATATAGATATATTTTTTAAAAATATGTATTTTTATAAATAATCCACAGTTTTCATGAATAAGTGGACCTGAGCCTCTGATGACCTCTGATGACCCCTGAAGAGCAGCCAATGAGGCAGCTCAGCGCACTGCACTGAGCATGACGTCACACAACGCAACCATGACGTCACGCAGGACAATACGTGACGTCAGGAGGCCGCGAGAGGTACGCCCAGCACCTGACCGACCTCGCACCGGCCCCGCACAGACGCAAACCGGGTTTTTTTTCCCCGTCATCAAACCCCTGACGCAAACCCGCCCCGCGCGACTCCCAGCAAAGCCCTGAGGCGGCTCCGCTCCCGCGGGCCGCGGCTCACGCCGTGAGCGACCTGAGGGGGCGGCGCTCGGGCCGGGAGGCGCCGCTGGGCACCGGGGGAGGCCGGGGAGCGGCGAGGGCCCGGCCCGGAGCGGGCAGGGCCGGGCGGGCCCCGCTCTTACCATCGCGCCGCGCTCCGCCACATCACCTTCCGGCCGCCGCCACGGGCGGAAGCGCGCACCGCGCGCCCTCAGCGCGCCGGGGCGCGGGCGCGGCCGCCATTGGCTGGCGGCGCCGCGGGGCGCTGCGATTGGTCGGCGCTGCCGGCGGAGGGGCGGGATATACGGGCGGACGCGGCGTTGATTGGCTGGCGCGGAGCAGGCGGAAGTGGCGGCGCGGGAGGTAGGTCGGGCGGCCCGCCCCGCGCGCGCGGCACGGGCGGGACTGAAGGGAGTGCGGGGGGATGTCCCGATGTGGGGATAATCGGGATAACCGGGATCAACCCTGAACTGACCCCTCACAACACTGAGGGGAGCGGGGCACGGTCCGTGTCCCGGTGTGCGGATAACCGGGATCACCGGGATCAGCCCTGAACTGAGCCCTCGCAACACTGAGGGGAGGAGGTGGATCCTTGAGTGTGTCCCGGTGTGGGGATAACCGGGATCAACGGGATCAACCCTACACCGATCCACGGGGGCCACGCATCTATCTATTTATTTATTTTTATATATATATATATATATGTATACTATATATATATATGCTCTCTCTATATATTTATTTATTTATTTATTTACTTATATATACTATATATATATGCTCTCTCTCTCTCTCTCTATATATATGTGTGTGTATATATATATATGTATATATATATATATATGTGTATATAGTGAGACGCTGGGGTGAAAAAAACAAACAAAAAACCAACAGAAAAACCCCAAAACTCAAAAAAAATCCCAAAAAACCAAAGCAAACGAACAAACAAACAAGAAAACAACAAAAAAACCCCCAAACAAACACACAAAAAACCCCAAACCCCCCCAAAAAAGAAAAAAAAAAAACAAACAAAAAAAAAAAAAACCCCAAACCCCCCCAAAAAG